TACGCGCAATATATGTAGTGTTTCTACAGAGAAAATTATTAGCGTGTTAGATAAACAAAATGGATGGAAACGACTATCTTACCAATTGAATTCTCTCATTTGTTAATCATTTATTGAAAATTTACAGGCATCTTTCCATTCTATATGCAAATCTATAGTAGGTAATGTGTTCTTTGCAAAACGGCTTTCCTGAGAAAAGCTAACAGGCCAATCTTCAAAGTCTTTCACGAAGTGAAATGGACTTCTGTTATGAACAAACCTAATGCTAACGGTTATTAGAAGGTCGTACAATGCACGTAAGGTCCGCCCTCTGTAAATTTTTATGGACATCACACGAGATGTCTGCAATGGGCAAGTGACCAAACATATATCATACGTTAGATGTTTGCTTTGTACGTTGGCGTAACGTTAGATAATGTAAGGGAAGATGAAGATAATAAAACTTTTCTATTTACGTATACGGGCCATGTATTAATCACTGCGTATATACATGGATTTTGCTCAAGCCACGCAAGTTGCTCAAGCTCATGATTCAGCTCAGGCCACTATCCTATTATACAATCCTGCGGGCTCGCTTTTTCTGCTATAGCCTGTCTGACCACATTTCTGCTTAGAAAGAGGCCGATTATATTCTATAGCGCTATATCGTACCCCTCGTTCTCTACCCTCCATTATTTGTGTTATCTGCAGCGGTACGCTCGTGATCGCGCGGGCCGTGTCTGTTTGTAAACAATAAAAATTCGCGTAATCCAGTACATGTTGAAGATTGCCTCCGCCCTATTTGACTCGACGCGGAGTACGGCATGACTCCACGTACTTCTAACATTTGTATATACGTACGTATGTTTGTGAATGTGACCGTTATCAGCTAGCCGGCAAACCCGCTAATATGGCAAACAGAGGAGTTCCGTACACTTCTCAAACAATAATCACGTTATAAGACATGTTACATATAGCGGAAATAATGAGGTTAAAGATACCTTGGACTGGATCCATACGGAGCCTGGTTCTAAAACCAGGTCGACTTAAAGAAACGTCTGTTCTTTTAGACACTTAGAGTACTCGCTGCTCGCCTCGTGGCCTGTCTGGCCTATTAACATCCCTATCTATTTCTTTATTCCTCTCACTTTGGCCATGCGGGGCATTTACGCAGTTTGGGCATTACGTTTACTCAGATCTCTGGTTACATTTATTATATCTCCACGAAACCGCTCGGTAGAACGAACAAGCTTAGCGTATACCTGTTCACGGCCATCCCTTAGAGCATTGCTTGACGTGAAGTATCATACTGGACTAAGAAGAAATCTTCAAGGTTACAGGTGTACTAATTGTCTCAGCTGAGCTTGCTTCGGGTTTTCCAACCCTGTATGAAGTTGCAAAGGCGAGTGCTCATAGACTATTACTAGCCATTTGTCTTGGAGCTTTTTAGAAATGACGTTGTCAACGGTTAACCTATGACAGTCACTAAGAGAAGATGTATGTTGATTAACACGTGCGGACCGCTGATGCGCAAGTACTCCCAAAAGGCCTCGATGTCTTATGGTATGTTGCACTATGTGGAGCATCATATATGTTCGTGTACTCGTTTGAGGTGAGGACGACACCGCTTAAAATCGCTCACCAGAGCTACGATTTTGTCTCCGTTTTTACGAAAATGGCTTCGCAAGCAACCTAAAGCTTTAAAATTTGCCGGTAAACTAAATATTAAACGTTTCGTTATTGAGCCTCTAAGGTCGTGGGAGCCGCGCGGCGATCTCTAGAAAACTTTTCCGCAGCGAATTTCAGTGCTTCACACGCTAATCGGAATCATTTAGGCAGCAATGCTTCAAAGTATGAAGTTCGGTTTTGATTTACGCTATCGATGTTCTACTGGTTTTAACCAAAGGTCCTAATTCATCGTGTCGATACAAAACATCTAAATACATAAATGACGACATTGATGCACGAGGATGCTTTGGCAAACAAAAGAGCCTGTCTTCATAAATCATACTTTATGTCGTACAGACGAAACTCCCTGATTGGATTTGAAGCACTTAGATAATGAACGTAAAACTACCGTCACGTAAACGCGTTATCTCCCTGTACTCGATTATGACAAAGCTTTGTTCGTGATACTGCAAATGCTTATGGTAATGAGTTCTGTTCATTTTAGGTTACATGTAGTGGTTTTTGTGTTGCTATCTTTTCTATTAAAATCAGAGATGTACACTGAAGTATAATTTAATCGTCTTCACTTCTTCGTAAGTGAAGCCTACGTAATCTAAAATAAATCGAGCTGAATAAATTCCGTTGTTCTATACTTAGAAACACTAAATATGTTTTGCATACAAATGTATCCGCCGTTTTAAGCCTATGTTAGACTTCTGGTCATAAACAGATTTATGTTAGCAATGATATTAATCGCCTTGCTGAAATCTATGAAAACCAAATCTCACTATGAAGGCTTTTAGTTGAAGCCCTAGACTACCACGAACGTCCGGTGTATTGCTGGAGGGGTTTCCACTTGGCCAACTGTAGAGAAATCGACTGCTTTATTAGAACTTTGTAAGCCACTCTCGTTTACGCCTAGCGCTGATCTTCACAACTTTCTTTTTCTTCTTGAATTCATTTTCGAATTCGTTTTGTTAGCCAGAACACGTGTGCCCGTGGCAGGTTCTGTTTCAATAAAGGTGGCTTGCGTCAGCTTGGGGGCAGCCTCTTTAGGAGGCATTTCTCGATGTTGGTAAACCGAAAACGATTGCCTAGATTCAAGGTCTAGTCTGGTTCAGGTCGACCGCATACTCGTGATTTGTCTATCTTGGTCCACTTCGTCCTTTCTCTTACAAGCTGCACTTTATCGTTCGCTTAGTGCAAACATCGTTGCCACCTACTGGGCGCAGCCGAAGTCTGCGCACTTCACAGGATTTCCACATGTTGCGGCAACAGCGCAAATGAATCAAACAGTGGTGGTAATGTTGTCGCTTCGACCTCTAGAGTCTAAACTAGACAGATCGTTTTACTATAGCGTCGTCTGCGTTTGTTTTAGCTACCGCTGCCTAATGTATGCGTGTTATCCCAGCTACTATACTCAGTGAAGCCCGCAGCAGGAATTCCTGCTGCCAGTCCCGCTCTGCTTATATATATATATATAGTAATGGTCAGCCATCCCGATAATCCAATGGTTGGTTCGTCCGTTTGCCGCAGAGCCCATACACGGCCCTGACGTTCAAAATATAGAGTGACTTGTTAACCGGCGGTAAGGATAGCATCTTATTAAATCTAGTCATCTGTTCACCATGTAACCACGAATCTAGCATATCAGCTTGGGGTCTGTTCTTTTGCGCATGTAGAGTAGTTACTTCAGCGAGAAGTTAACAGACACTACTACCATAGCTTTGTTCGAGTTGGTCTTCATTTTAGGATTCGTTTCCTTCATCGGCAACTTATAGCTGATTTATTATACTGTCAGCTATAGGAACGATGTGAAAAGTTGTATAATTGGAAAAGGGTTATTGTAAATATTTGAAGATCCGTTTCTAACGAGTAGGACGCTTTAAAGAGATGTTGGACAGAGTTCGTATGGTGTTGCCTTTATGCCCACAGGGTAAGTAAGTGGGCAAGACTTTTTCACAAAAACCGTCAAATATGAAAATAATAAAACTGAGGGTTAGTAATGCCGATTTGTAAAATGGTATCTTTTGAAGCTTATCATAGTTATGTTGGGCTTGATTTGACCGACAGTGTTCCTCAACGCTATGGTTACTCATTTAGCCAGTTCAAAGAAAAAGCTTTTCAGGCAGCATCATTAAAAAGACTCCATATATCAGCGCGAACAGAACGCTGCTTCTACCGTTGTAAGGATGAGCATGCTCATTAAAAATACCCGGACCCACGATCGTTTTACTGATGAAGTGGGCCACGAAGTAGCCCAGGTCAGCAAAGACAAATAATGCAAAACGAAACACAAAACAAAGACCGGCGTGAAAATCGTTTTTTCAACCGCGAAATAAATGATACGGCTAGGCACCAATGTACATTAATAAACGAACGTATTATTGAATAGCGATATTTTCAATAAACTACGACAATAAACTACGACGTAACAATTTAACATTATTTACCTGCCTATGTGATGATATCTCATCATGGTGGGTTTTAAAAAATCTGCTCTAAAAAATGTGTTTTGTCGAGCATATTTTGTTAAAACATCTCAGAGGTTCCAATTGTTCCACTGTATGTTTGCAGAAAAAACAGCGAAAAATGTGTGTTGTCAGAACTGTTAAGTTACCTCTAGCTTTGAAAATTATGGGTATTGCTTTACTTGTAATGACTGTATCAACTAAGTTTTTTACACATATATGTTAATAGTCTGTGAAGATACTACAGATATAATTTGTTACATATTATAATAATGTGTATATTACTACGACTCTTCTCGTTGAGTCTAGGGTAGGGGTATAATTCCATTAAGTGTTCCATAGAGAGCAACCCCCTAAGAATGCCTTCTAGGCTATAGCGTGTTGCAGGACGAGCGGCTGTATCAATGCTCAGCATAGCAGAAAGCACTAATTATGTTCTGTCTACTTTTGGTTACATGGGTAAAAAAGTAGGTCTATGGTTGGAAAAGTTTATAACTAAGGCTATTTTCTCTCATTTGTTGAGCTATGCCTCGCCCTAATGTAAGCGGGCATCCCTTCTGATCACTTTTCCCCACCTGATTAGCTCCGACCTGTATTGCGATGAACATGTCAACGACAACTGGCTTTATAGTTCAAGGTAATAAAAACTAAGCGACCTGGCACTTCCTTTCCCTCTGCGATTTGATCATTTCAACTTCTTGTTCAATTATGCATTTTTTGTTATATAAGTAAATATATAAACGAGTTTTAAAAACAGAAGATGAACGACTAATCTATAACCAACTGAGTCTCCGAACCGAACATGTCCGTTACGTCTTCCAAATAGCGTTAGCGGCTTTTACAACATATCAATGTACGTTCTCTATTTTTGTTCTCTTGCAGACTTGGAGTGTGCGGGATCTATTCTGCATAGCCAAGACCATACGAAGGCGTCGTTGCGAAGATCTGTGAGGAATAATCGACAGAAGTCAACGTTACGAACAAGCAAACGTGCGGAAAGATTGAGGAAAATCTCCGTACCGTATAACAAATTTAGTGTTTTAGACTTGTACAACTATAAGGTCTTTAAGTGTGCAAAGGTCAAGCGACAAGCCAACTCAGTCACAGAGATGTCAACGACCCGCTTCACCGTACTTCGCACGACAAACAAGTCCTTGCTATGTGAGGACTCAGCCGACAAGCGATATGGCTCTACGGAAGTCGACCATTCATACGGCGTCACATACAAATCACCCTCACCTAACGGACAATCATCGCACGATATTCATCCAAAGCTCAAGGGTAAGCAGGCGAGAATGGTATAATTCTGTAGATGTTAGGCATCATTCATTTATCTCTCAAGTGTACTTACTTACGGTGAAACCGTATTTGCAACGTACACGTTTACCTATAACATTCAGTTGGCCTAAATGAATCGTTATTAAAGGCCAGCGTAAATGCTACAATTAGTTGATAAAGAGCCTTAGCTTTAATAAGTCCATACTCAAAACACTCAGGCCCCTTCTTGTCGCACGCCGCGCGGTACATACGGGTACAGTGAAGGACGACCAATGTAATACCAATGTATACTGGCCTAACCGTCTGTTAGATTTGCCTTATTACAACGAACATAAAATACACGCATGGATTGCCGATAATAAATGTTAACACGAGCTCAATCAAGATAGATTATTGAGCGTATGTCTTATGGGGGCGTATCCTGCCGAATGTCAACGATCCCATAGGGCAAAAGGACCTATATAGGTACAAGCTCTCTCAACCATTAGTAATAGCTTAACGTTTCTTCTTATAATTTCGTACAGCATGTTTACTTTGCTAGAATGGAAGTAAATTCATTCAGCATACTAATACATAGGTATATCCAGGTATCCGAGCTATGGTCCGCTGTACGCTTTTAAAGGTACATGATCAGATTCTTTAGAGCACGGGCAAGGTAACACCTTACCTTAGCTACTCTCAAACGTCGAATTTAGTAAACAATCCTATATCTTATCATGTCGTTCGATTGAGACAATGCTGGCTTTCTACGAAAGTTCGACACGAAATCAGAAAGAGAACTCAGGACAATATATCGCGTCCAGTAGATCTGAGGATTATTATTCCCGATGGCCTGAAGACGCTTGCCAGCAGCGCTGTCGCGTTAGCTTTGTCTGTACTAAGCCCGGGTTGCTGAACGTTTGACAGCCTAGTTCCAGCTCTCGTCAAGACTGCTGAAACGCTAACGAATACAGGCTCGCTCACTGACTGGCGGGTGACCATGCTTGTGGATCAATTTTAGAGAACCTTACCATATTTTTATTCATAAATGGCTAAAAGCCTAGGTTATTCGAGAGGTTGTGTCCTAACTAGCAAATAGTATCGATACTGCACAGTAGTTGAAGCTGGTTCGTGCGTTCCACTGTAGTATTACTCGAAAGTGCCGAATCACTCATACATACCTAGTGGACAATAGTAAAGTTATTTGTTGTCTAAGTTATTCGAGTGAAATACTTCAGTAGAACGTTGATCAATCGTTGTGTATCTGTTCCATCACTCATTCTCTTTTCATAGGCCTTTTTTTGGTTTCCCTGACACATGAGCTTCCTCTCACGTTGCTCGCCCGAATGCAACTGGACTGTGGATGAATCGAAAGTTTCCAATAGGTAGCGATGTTTGCTTGTGGACCTGGGACCTTCAACCTAAAGAGTAGCTAGGGGTATCTCGAAATTTACGTTGGGTGTCTCCGTTGGGCATTCCATCAGAGGGCTGGCTCCCGGCACGAAACGAAGTCTGTCCATTTTCGAGTTCAAGCCCAGACCACAACGAGTCCCTAAGATTAACACTAAATACCTTGCTCACTAAGGTATCACGCGGCAGTGAGAGGTATCTGGCACCGCTGACGGCAGCTGGCCAGTGCAATCGATGTTCTAAACGCTGTATCGGTCGGGACGGTGGCTGCGGTAGAAGCAGCAACTTGTGTGCTAACTAAATTTGTCCGTGTGCACACCTCGCCTTCATGTACCCATGTGTCAATCTGTGACTCCATAAAGACACTTGAAGAGCGGGAGTTTGCATGAGAATGAGTAAAAGGAATGTCGCTCGCAAAATCATATGTATGTTCGAACGCACTTCGCTGTGCCGATTTGCATATACGGATACCTAGACTGTGTCCAGCTATAGGTATCGCCGTTGCCATTGAGCAACAGGAGAAGCGAACAGCGAGAGCAGTGGGAAACAGCAGTTTCCGTTAGATATGCCTGGCTGAAGGACTAGTAGGACAGCCAACAATACCAATCGAAAAAGTTTTCAAGGAGAACATTGGGAGATCCATCTGACTGGCACTACCTTCGAGGCCTAGGAGGGAATTGTTGAATGGATAGCGCTGACCACCTAAATAATGCACAATCCTGCCCGGTGGAAATCGCGAAGTCAATGTACCAGCGACTCCTAAAAACAAAACAATAGATAGCGAGGCGTTGACAGATCCTTCGAGCCAGGTTCAAGAGAGAAGAGACAGGAGTGCTAGTAATAATCTCCCTTGTCGGGGCTCTTGAACTCAATAACAAGCGGACTAACTGGATGAACGCAAGCAAGGACCGAACCCTGCTGGTCGCTGCTGGCCGAGTATATTCATGTAGCAGACGACACGTCTGCGTAACCTATGAACTAGCTGTGCCAGGCGAGTCATAGCGCTATCATTACAGAGTACTCCACCTTGACAAAATGCTGATGCCAGTTACAGGATGCAAGTGGTCTCGGAGACTAATGAATACCTTATCAGTTTGCCAAGAAGAGTTAGAAATATAGAGCTCGAATGAGGCATGACAGGAACGTACCTTGTTTCGGCGGCAGGACAGAAGGGGCTTTTTCCGTTGTTGTGCAGGTAGTCAGTAACTTTTTTTCGAGGAGAGAACAAAGATGAGGTACCAGCAGAAGCACGCCTTTTTCCCATCCATAATATCTATTGCCATTTGTTGCTGTTGGTGTTCATCTTTCTTCAATTGTTCGTAACTCCGCTTATTTAGCTCACAGCCGATAGCGTATCCTGGCTATAACTGGGTGCAATTGAAGTAGCTCTAGTTTCCAATTGAGAATCGTTTCTCAGTCTATCAGCATATTAGTGATGCCGATATCAATGGCGAACCATGACTTTGATACTTTGAAAATAGTCCTGTTAATATAATAATCCTAATAAACCTACCTGAAAAAAATTAATACAACGAGCGCAGTCCTCCATAAGGCGAGAAAGTGTAAATCGATTTAGCATAGTACTTTGTGTTACGAAAATGGTTTTCTAATGTTAGAAAATCTAGCTGGCAGCCAGGCCAGAAGCCTGCTTGGGGCCATAACTGGGTTAGTGCATTTCTGGCCATATGCTCGAGTAGTAGTAGTAGATCGAGACCTAAATTATAACCACATCCTTTCCGGGGAGTAAATAGGAATAAGATGTACAGCTATTGATAAGAGGCCTAATGAAAATCGCGTTCATTTCGGAGGCTTTTCTACAGTGTCCCGATATCGTAGCTTAATGAGGTGCAAAGCTCGGCAATTCGCTCCCTATTAACTGTAAAAAATGCCGAAACCGATATGGATTTATAAATCGCAGCTTGGAAATTACCAAATTACCTATTACATACATACGGTTTAGTTACTAAAAAGACAAATGAACAGGTACCAACGGCTCTCCTCCGCCTGCACATTGAGTTAGACAGATAGCTAGGCTATTTGTGTATCTTATGAATATGGAATTAAATTATCATGGTGCAGAAATGATAACAGGATACTATAGGGCTAAATATTCTATATCATTTATCATTGGCAAGTGGTTTGCCGCGCGAAACGGATAATAGCAAAATGCTATGGCCTATAACAGTAAATAGCGTAAGTTCCAAGTCAAAAGTCAACCACGGATTCTAAGGGTGTCAGTGGTTACCAAAATGCCTGACACTATTTAGAGATTCAAAGGTTGGCCATTCAGTGACTTAAACCGCGGTAACTTTTAACTTGTTGGTTGTGACAGATATCCGAATTTTTTTCGTTGAAGCGTATGCCGAAAACATAATGCTGAACTATCTACCGATGAAATGAGGAACTGGGGCCTCTCGCGCCAAAATGAAAGTTGATGGCGCACCCGAAAAGCAAACTGATTTTGTTAAATCCGTCTCTTAAGAAACTCCCCCCTGACCTCGTTATGTAAACACCTACACTACAGCACATTAATATTCACGTGAAATAAAGCCTCTTCAATAAGATACGCTACCGTTGTGAAGTTGAAATTTATTTCTAGAACGATGAAAACACAATGTCTGTTTTTACACACAAAACATGACACATACAAAAGCATTGTTACTATTTCAACCATTACCGTTAGCGGGTTGCACATACCGAAGGAGCTAAGGAGAAAGAATTGGCCTTTGGCTACACGCCGATAATTTTTTTTGAAAAAGATGTGTGATGGAATAGGTCTAATCTGACTGATTTATGACTTCGTTTAAAAATGTCTTATTTGTGCAGGGGTAACTATGGGTGATATAAAGGGATACACCGAAGAATGATTTTTTCGTATGCTACTAGAATAAGAATAAAAAATCCTTTGGTAGTTTCTGAACAATCATATATCTAGCTACCGCATTCACACATGTAATTATGCCTCTTCGATGTAAACCGATAATGAGGTTACCAGTTGCCCATTTTAAAGCGTGCAAAATCCCGCAATCATATAAACCTAAAATTAAGAGGTTAAAGCCAACATTGACTACTCCTTTGCTCAATCTGGGATGTAATTGAAGTACGGCGATATGATCCGCGGTTCTTATCAGATAATCAAGCTAACTGCTCTCGATTACCGTGCCAACGATCCACCAGTCTCTCAGAGAACACAGGATGGAGGGCTACATTATTCTTGGAGAATATTTCATAGTAACTGATGTTCCTTATATAAAACTGCAAGTAGTACTATCACTTCACATCCAAACCCACTCGATGCTATCACTGGGTTGAGGTTCTCGTTAGGGCGACGCCATCCTTTCGCGTAGTCCCTTTCCAGCTGACTATCGTGAGATTGAATCTTACTTCGATCATGGCGACAGTGGGCTTCAAAGCGGGCCTAAAGTCACGGAAACTATCTCGTTGCACATGAAATGCATCACGCGCATTTTCAATTAGGTTAGGTTCAATTCATGAAGGACCCATTTTTTACTTAATTTCCGTATTTTCAGTATTTGTGCTATGATTTTGTAATACGTTAGATATGAAAACTCGTTGAGTTTACTCCAGGAAAAACAAGCTTAGAATGAAGAACA